GAGAGAGAGAGATTTCAGGATTATTTTCCCAAAAATAAATTGTTCCTGCTTTTCATGTAGAGCGATACATGAAAATTTTTAAAATTAAATTGTAATTTTCATCAAATATGTATGAAATTTCAGAGTTGTTAAAAGAGACAGATAAAATATAATATTAATGAATGTACCATTTTATGAAAAAAATAATTTTGTGTATAATAAATAGGATTCAAAAAAAGAGCTCGTGTCAACATACACATGCGATTAATATAAATTACATCACACGGCGTCACACTTGACAATTCAACGCATGAGATATTTGCAAGTTCGTGAATTTTTTAAAATATACCATATCAATTGTAATGTTAATGACGCGTGTAAATATAATCCAACAAGGATGTCACGTGTATGTGTATGTGTGTGTGTGCGTGTGCGTGTGTGTGTGTGCGTGAAAAGATGATGAGCTATTTCGGGGATCTAGGATTCCTGAATCTACCGGAAATCCGTTGACTGCTAAGCAGCGCGTGCAACAACGAGGATATTAGCGATTCGTATCGGGGGCGTAATCGGTCGCCGTATCTGACGTTGATTAATGCGACGGCGCGCTCGTACGAAATTGTTAAATCGCGCAGATCGCGCGTCCCGCGTCGCTCCCGCAATAGCTCGCGCCTAATTGCGCGTGATTTCGCCACGCCGCGAGCGCGGACACGCGCGGTTACAGTTGACCACGTAACACGCTTGAGAATTATGCGCGCACGTCCAGACATACAAGTCAACACGTTCGCCTTCGTCTCACCGAGTATTACTCCGCGTCACTTTAGGTCTCATCGGAGAGCCTCAGGCTCGGTTGCACCCCCGACGTTGACTGACGTCGATCTATTCATTCTTAATAAATCGATCCTGCTTAGGAGGCTAAACGAGTACAGTAGATATAATATTTTTTTTCGAGTAGCAGAAAGTACTCACACGATAGAAACTAGATAAGGATTCATTACATTTTGATTAAAAAAAAAGTATGAAAAAAGTTTGAGATAATCTTTTTTAAAAAAAATAATATATTTTGAAATATTTTTAATCTCTTATATCGCGATGTACGGATGATTTTACCCAACCGAGTAATTTTTATTTTATTTATTTGGCTATTTTTTTTAAGTATTTTTGACGTCGATTCATTAATTATAATCTAACAGCGAGTAGTTTTAAATCTTTCATAAAATATGGATAATTTAAAAAGTTAAAGAGGATGTTGTTAAAGAGGATATAAGTGTTGTGTATAAATAATGTTCAATTAGTAATTTTCAAATTGTGCAATAAATAAGATGTCATCATAGATAACGGCATTGTAACTATGTCGGTGAGGTGGATTTGCGTTAGCGGCTGAGAATTTTCCGGTTTGGAATTATGAGCGCACTCGTCGAGACGTATCGATCAGTTGTTAATTTAGTTTCGAGAGCCTCGAGATGAAAATTTTAGCTCGTGCTGGTGTGGTGTAACTGATTAAAACGCCGATTAATTCGCGTCGTGTCTTTCGTAGAGGGGATCGGTTTTCGGCAAATTCGATCTCGTGGATTCAATCGAACCGCATGTGTATTTGTTCGCGCTATGCCGATTAGCGCACCGAGAGTCGACGGTTAATTAATTTTCATTCCTGGAGATAGCGCCTTCCGTATCGGATAGTCGTAGATGTCTCGGCCTGTTAATTAAACGGCGGTCGTCGGGTGTAAAAATAAGATTGTTTTGGCTACGTTTGAACGTTTTATCACTCCGCGCCTTCGTATTTTCCAACGCAGACGACATTGTTGGTCTTTTGCAACAGCACGCAGACCGTCGCTTTTACTTTTATCTACAATATTTTTCTATTTTTAATAATTTGCTTTATTCGATGTTATATTTATTATATAAAATTATAAAAATGTTTATTTATAAATGTTGAAAAACTTAAATGAAATTTTTATATTTCACTACATTAAATATTTTCGTAACGAAAATATTGCGATAACAACATAATTTCTTTTAAATTAAGGAAATTTGATGCTTACAAAGTTATTTACCGCATCGTTAAAATTTATCTACTGATATGCCACTATTCCACACAGTTTCTATCCCATTAAAATATTATTACGTAATGTAATCCAGCATAATAACTAAAGCATATATCTTGAGTTTCCGATATAAATCTCTGGCAAACGCGAACTAATCTGAATTAATCTTAGATTACGCTTCACAGATCTACTGTTTACTGCATACCGCAACGTAACTTAGAATGGCAACTAAATCGTACATCAGTTGCGTAATGTAATCTTACGCCAAATCCGGAATAATCTAAGCGTCTCGACGTTCAGTCAACATCTCTATAAAGTCGGCACGTGTGACGAGAAAATTATATGTGTGTGGAAGGAGAATCGTTTTTATCCACCCCCTTGCGCGCAAGGGAGTTAATAATTTTGCTGTGGCACTACCCTTGCACGACATTAGTTTTGCGACGGAAGCGGATTACGTGAGCGGATTACTTTCTCTCTCTCTCTCTCTC